CTATAACACGAATACATGTTGTATATTCTTTCCGACATTTTTGAAACTATTAAGACTCAGACGTATGCGGGAAAACGAGACGTACATATTGGACTCGCGTGGAAAAGATTCAGTTTGTTGTTATTCATCGAACGTCGTGTCCATTTTCGTATTTAAAAAAAAATCTTTCCGGCGAATTTTTTTCGTTTGACTTGACAACGCATCGAGCCTAAGTAATAAAGATAGCACGCTCGTCATACCTCGTAGATTCTGTTACTGCAGAATCTAACGCGATAAAATACAGAAGATCGTCTCTATATTTGGCGACAACTCCTGTCCCGTGAAGATAATAAATGCCGTGAGTTTATTATAGTTCTGTACCGTTGGGGAGAGAATCGCAGAGAAAATACGAAAGATGGAACCGAGGGTAAATTTGTCTATTTTTTTTAGGTTCTCGTGCGTCTTCGCATGAACGTCGACATCGAGCTTTGTACATTACCTTCGAGATCCGAGACTTCAGAAACACCGGGATCACACTTTCTTTCATCGCGAATGTCGAAAGCCCAAGATAGAATCGTATCTCCTATAGAACGCCTCTCGTACGTTTCGGAAATAATTGCCTCGCTAAACGTGTCCTTCTTCTATATATAGTTCCCCAAAAAATTATAATACATTCCTTATATCTCTGCGTACTAAGGAAAAAAAAAACAATCGGTGAGAATATCAATGGTACATAAAAAAATATCCAAATACGCGCCGTCGAAATGAGATGCCGTGAATTAAATGTAAACGACGAAACGTACGAAGGGCAAGGTTTTATCTTATTCTAGCGTGGTACGTCAGCTAGGTGATCACGGTGTTATGTGATATCCGCTAAAAGGTACTATATACACGTAATATAGTTACGGAGTAGCGTTTACATTTATCGTACAGATAGACAATATTAACCTGGATGTATTTCAAATTGCATACTCTGCTAAACAATTCCTTTATTTATCCTAACCGCTAAAAGGTTAACTAAAAATGTAATTCTGTACTTCTTACCGTCTCATCTTACTTTGTTTGCTCGCTAACTTACTTATATACTTAAAAAGTGCTTAAAATTAATTTCTTGTAGGCGTAGATATCTATGCATTAAACTCTTAAACACATGTTCGCTTTCGTACACCAATCAACGTCATCGTAGAAAAAAAGTAGTATTATTAATAATAGTAATAGTAGTAATAATATCAGTAACAATAATAAATTACAGGCGAAAGAATCCATACTAATCGATTAAAAATTGATCTATGGGCCTACAGTCGACGAGCGATAACGCTTGTACAATACACTCGGTAAAGCAGTATACTCGCACAAAGAAAAGAAACACAGAAAAATACAATGCACATAATATATAGACGTGTGTAAACGAAAAAAAAGTAAAGGAGAAACAAAACGTTTTTTTCTCCGCCGGTCGATCGATTGTTCAACCATTTCCGAAAGCCGATCGCTCCTCGAAAAGGCACGAGAAATTATAAATTTCAAGCCTCTTAGTTTCGTATCCGCAAGCTATAAGAAATCTGTGTGTCGTGTAGAAAAACTCCTACAAAGTATCATACGCGGGAGGGTTAAAAGTGAAGTCGCGAAGAAAATCGCAAGACATCGGCAAGACACTCGATAAAAAAAACTCGTCCCGGTTTCTCTTCAGTCCTTGCGCGATTATTAGCGTTGAACGACGCTGATTATTGATCCATGTGGACATTTATGCATTTGCAATAATTGCAAGGAACATTTGGAAGACCGCAATTGCCGACTTTGTTGGAAAGAATATACAACATGTATTCGTGTTATATCTACATAGACCGAAAAAGCAGCGAGTCCACGATCGCTCGTCCTCTCTAACTTACTCGTCAATGCGATACACGGCGACCTGGGGATGCCGTTTCTGTTAGTAAAGCGGCGGTCTCCCGGCTGTCATTCCGTTGCGTCGCCGACCACAACCAATCTCCCTATTGGATCAATAATCAGCGTCGTTCAACGCTAATAATCGCGCAAAAGCTAAGGGAAACCGGGACAGTATTTTTTATCGAGTGTCTTGCCGATGTCTTGCGATTTTCTTCGCGACTTCACTTTTAACCCTCCCGCGTATGATACTTTGTAGGAGTTTTTCTACATGACACACAAATGTCTTATAGCTTGCGGATACGAGACTAAGAGGCTTGGAATTTATAATTTCTCGTGCCTTTTCGAAAAGAGGAGCGATCGGCTTTCGGAAATGGTTGAACAATTGATCGACCGGCGGAGAAAAAAACGTTTTATTTTTCCTTTACTTTTTTTCGTTTACACGCGTCTATATATTATGTGCATTGTATTTTTCTGTGTTTCTTCTCTTTGTGCGAGTATACTGTTTCACCGAGTGTATGTACAAGCGTTATTGCTTGTCAAGTGTAGGCCCATAAACCAATTTTTAATCGATTAGTATGGATTCTTTCGCCTGTAATTTACTATTATTACTGATACTATTACTACTATTACTATTATTAATTCTACTACTTTTTTTCTACGATGACGTTGATTGGTGTACGAAAGCAAACATGTGTTTAAGAGTTTAATGCATAGATATCTACGCCTACAAGAAATTAATTTTAAGTACTTTTTAAGTATATAAGTAAGTTAGCGAGCAAACAAAGTAAGATGAGACGGTAAGAAGTACAGAATTACATTTTTAGTTAACCTTCTAGCGGTTAGGATAAATAAAGGAATTGTTTAGCAGAGTATGCAATTTAAAATACATCCAGGTTAATATTGTCTATATGTACAATAAATGTGAACGCTACTCCGTAATTATATTGCGTGTATATTGTTGCGCTTCGCTCGCTAGAATCGCGCTCACTCGCGTTTGCGACCGCGCACTCCCGGGACCGTGGAAATAACGACACTCGTTATTACAAAAAGAAGAACTCGGTTTATTCAAACTCGGAACGTAAATACAGAAAAAGCTTGGAGAGTAGGAACGAACGGTTCAAAACTCCAAAACAATCTGACAGGCGTTTTTATAAATTAATAAATCAATAACTGCGTCCCGTTGTCAAGGAACGCGCTTCGGCTTGAAACTTCCGCGAAGCAGAGCCAGATTCAGCCCACAAACGGGTGTCTCGGTACGGGCGCAACACTGCCTCCCCCCTCTTCAGATTGTCGTCCCCGACAATCCGGAGGAGCAGTTTCCTGACTGGGCAAACTTTTCCGTACGATTCCATGGTACCGGGACGGCCTCCTGCTCTACCCTGGGCTGCAGCCACAGGTTACAAGGCACCGTCCTCTCCTCGGTCCCAACCGTACTCCGGAAGTCCAGGACCATGTCCTCTTCCTCATGGAGCGAGTCCCCAATCGACATCTTTCGGAAGGAGATACTCTCTCCCCTTTGCCGACTCTAGGGCGATCCCTCATCAGTTCCCTCGCAGGAGACCTCGCTTCCCAACACAGGCCTCTTTTTCTCAGCTCCCGAAGTCGTCGTAGATGTCGCTGTTCCTCTTCTAAATTGTCGGACAAGGAGGGAAAGCTTACCGTGGACCCAACGTCTCGAAAGACTCCCCAAGTTTCTGCCTCTGCATTTGCCCTATGTCTCACGAAAAAACCACGGATCAAACAACCGTGAGAGAGGCAGTCTTCTAGCTTCGTAACTTATCCTTTGCCGGTATTAGGTTTGGCAACAAGCCAGCTCCCAAGATGTCCAACTCGGCGAGGAGTTACGACCGCTTCAGCTTCCGTAAATTTCTAAGAACAAAATAACACGCGCAGTAAACAATGTGACACAACAATCTTAATTTCTACCGTAATTAACCTTTCCCACAAATTATCACACCCAACTTAGTCCATAACAAGCCCTGTTCCCTACCAAACTCTATTGTCTCTCGGAAAAGGAAGCCAACCTATCCGCATTCACAATTTTCTTCTTATGTCTCACAGACCTTTGAATACAATAGACCACATCATTCAACTTTTTCACTATTAAAAAAGGTCCTTCTTAATTGCTCTGCAATTTAGGGGCTCTACCTTTCATCCTTCGAGGATTATAAAACCAAACTTTTTCCCCTTCTTGAAAAAGAGTTTGCCTGGCCTTCCGATCATACCAGGACTTTACTCGCAAAGACCTCACGTTCATTCGCTTCCTAACGTTGGAATGGATCCTATCCAATTTCTTCTTCAACCTCTCAACAAAACCTCCAACCGATTGAGTCCTTTCTCTCGGAGGACTTCCTAAAAACAGATCCAACGGCAACCTAAGATTTCGAGCAAAATATAGTTCTGCGGGAGTCATTCCAGTAGCCTCGTGCTTAGAAGATCTGTACGCTAATAAAAACATAGGAACCCAGCGATCCCAATCCCTCTGGTTTTCAGAAATATACTTCGCTAAATAATTAATAATAGTCTGATGTTGCCGCTTGACTTGCCTATCCGATTGTGAATGTAAAGCAGTTTTTCTCGTTTTTCTAATACCAAGGAGATTCATCAATTCTGCAGAGAGTTTAGACTCAAAATTTTTTCCCTGATCCGTATGGACCTCCAAGGGGACTCCGTGTCTAGAAATAATTTGATAAACAAAGACTTCTGCCACCGTATTTGCCCTAATATTCCTGAGAGGAAAAGCTTCTACCCATGTTCGTCAGTGCAGGGGGTGTAATGCACTAAGCTCTTTTTCACGATTAATGAAACTTTCGTTTATACTGAAGTAGAACTTTATTACGAGACACGTGAACAACCTCCTTCGACAATCGTTAGCGATCTGATCTTGCTCGCCGCGCATAGCTAGGAAACTCGAGAGTAGGGGCGGCATCCGCCCTAGCGCCACACACGGCTAACAGTTAAAGGAGTAGGAGGTGCGCAGCATGAGGGGCAGGCAACCGAGTTTGAATACTTTAACCACATTTAGGAGTACCATAATGCTCACCTCTGAACATGCCGCCCGCCTTGACAAATATTTATATTTTCAACTAAAACAAAATGAAGTCGCGACCTACCGTGCCTCGCTTGCTGGCCTTAACCTAATGTGGAGCACGTTCGTTTTTCTGAGCTTCGGGCTCTTCGACAGGGAGTGGACAAATCTTTACAATCGGTCTTTTATAAATGCCTTTGCTAATACGGACAGTTAAGATTCGTATTACGCCATCTGAACCGTGATGAACGCCATCAATTCTCGCCAGCACCCATTTCAACGGCATGGACTCATCTTCCTTCAGCATAACCAGCTGGCCTACTTCTAGGTTGGAGTGGGTTTCGGACTTCCACTTTGTTCTTCCCTGACAAACGGCTAGATACTCCTTGGACCATCTCGACCAAAAGTGCTGCTTCAACCGCTCCACGTGTTGCCACCGAGAAAGCCTGTTCATGGGTACGTCTAGAATATCAGGCTCTGGGTATGAGGTGAAAGAATCCCCTATCAGGAAATGAGCAGGTGTCAATGCGCTCAAGTCCAGGGGATCGTCCGACAACGGCGTTAATGGCCTCGAATTAAGAATTGCTTCAACCTGGGCCAATACCGTCATTATTTCTACCACCGTAAGGGATGCATCTTCTATAGTCTTCGTCAAATGCTGTTTCATCAACCAAACGGCAGCTTCCCACAATCCGCCGAAGTGGGGGGCCCTTGGCGGTATGAAATGCCAGTTCAAGCGCTCCTCAGCGGCGGCGTGCTGCAGATCCGGACTTTGAAATAGATCCTGCATCTCGTTATCTGCACCTCGAAAGTTCAGCCCGTTGTCCGAGTACATGTTTACCACCTTCCCCCTTCGGGAGATGAACCTTTTCAGGGCTCCTATGAAGGCCGCAGTGGTCATATCTTCGACCAGTTCCAGGTGGACAGCCTTAGTCACCATGCAAACGAAGATGGCAACATAAGCCTTGTACTGTTTGCTATTTCTCCGCACTCTGTCACGGACTAAGAACGGACCACAGTAGTCCACTCCAGTGTTGTGGAATGGCCTTGAAGCCGTCCGCTAAAACGGTGCGCGCGCAGCTAATCGGACAGCCCCGAGTGGTATTGAAGCGACTCTCCCAGGAGCAGTTGCATCGCGCGGAGCGGGCACAAACGCCGCTACCTCGACACGTCGAGGAACTGAGCACATGGGACATGGTCCCATGTACCTCGAGAGGTGTCACGACGCACCAGGCGGTGCGAACGATGACAAGCACCGAGCGATGGGGCTCGCCGCAGGAGATGGAGGCGATCAGGCGAGCGGCCGAGGCGTTTGGCTGCGCCTTCCAGGTGCAGCTTACCCGAACCACCGTCGAAGAGACGGTAGTATTGACGGCGGTGCCGCAATCCGCGGCACAGGACGAGCCGGACGAGGAGGAGTTCCGGAGCGTTTCTTCGGGGGAGGACTCCTCGGACGAATAAGAAGATGCCCCGGCCAAGGCCAGCCCTCCCATAGCGCTCCGAGGACGGATCCCGATAGGGAGCCCAAGCCCCACGACTTCTTATTTTGTCTTCCCGTTAGCAACGAGTAACGATATTTATTTTGTGTTATTTTGATCCGTCCGGCGCATTTAGAATAAGGTTTGCGACAGCGGTCGCCGAGCAGCGGCTCATTTCATTAAAAATTTAAATATGTTTCTTTCCCGATCCATCTTTCATTTATTTTCATTGAGCGGCAATAAAGTACACGGCCCGACCTTGAGATATAATTATGATTTTTGTTTGCTTTGCGCATGGATCGCGGTAACGCGCGGAAAAGCACGGCGGTCGAGCCACACACAATCTTTAACGCGGGGCACGCGAGCCCAGATTCGCACTAGTCGCGGAATATAGCGAAGCGTATAACGATTTGGAATAGCGCGGTCACCGAGTACCGAAACCGTGAGAGCTACGCGAGTAATAGTCACATGGTCCAAACCGCAAGGCCCCAAAATAGCGGACCAGCGATAGAGCGTTGCGATTCGAACCCGGGATAGCACGATGGCGCACCGCGGTAGCTAGGTGGTAGAATCGTGCGTGCCGCAGGAATAATAGCGACGCGGTCCGAACCGCGGAGTCACAAAATAGGTGACCAGCGAAAGAGCGACGCGATACGGTCACTGGATCGGAAGATAGCGAACCAAGGTAGCTAGGTGGTCGAACCGCGCGTGATGAGGGACTGATAGCCACACGATCCGAACCGCGAGGTCGAAAAATAGGGGACCGGCCGAAGAGCGACGCGATCCGACCGCTGGGTAACCAGATAGGTAGCTAGGCGTCATCCGCAGGAAAAACCCAGCGGGTCACAGCCAACGGGACCTGGTACATCCGAGGAACAGGTCGCCGTCAAAATCCGATCACCCGGACGCGAGATACGGCGACGTGTCGGCCAAGTCGATACCCGGACGTCGTCCACAGGGACTGAGTCCGGAAAGACCGGGCCGTGAAAACGAGACCCGGAGTTCGCCGTCAACGGCGGACGTCGCGAACGCGACCCAGACATCTTCCTCGAGAAGTCGACCCGGGGTCGCCTAAAGGAACGTAGGAGAAGACGTGCGCACGGCGTCGTCGTAGGTTGAAAATTACGAGTGGTGGAAAACCACTATTCGGGGGCCGTTTCAGGGCATCGCGTACATGGTACTACAAGTGGAAATTTTCACCGCGAACATCTGGCACGGCCAGAAGTTGTCAACACCTATTGTAACTGCGTAGCGGCGAACATCTGGCGCGGCTAAAAGTCGTAAACACCTATTGTTAACGCGGAGAACGGAAAAGTACCGCGAAGAGAAAGCGGCCGAGACCCCATGGTAGGGGTAACTTACCAGAGGTAAGGAGCCCGAGAGAGGAATATTCCTTGAGGCAGTCTCTCGTGGGCGCTCGTAGGTATAACACCTGTCTCGTGCGTATATCTCGGCGTGTCGTTGTAATTATCGCGATTACGTACCGAATTACGAATTGAACGTACCACAGCGTCCGAAACAAACGGGAACGCCCGCGAAACGTGTTACTCGTCGCCGATACGAAAGGCAAATGGTTTTGACGTACCGTAAACGAAAACTTCGCACTTTGCGAGACGTGCGACCGCCATCTTGTGCGGGAACAACAATTGTGAACAACCATCTGTGTGAAATGACAATCTTGAATAAATGGAAGAATTATTTGTGAAAATATATACGTAGTTATCGATTTCTTACCTTCTACTTACCTGATCAAGCGGAGTGGTCAGCCATCTTGCGTGGGAGCCCATCCGGGTCGTAGATTATCATCGGGTCTGCAACGGAGGAGGCCATAGGCGAGGACCCCGTGGCGGAAACCTGAAAAGAAACGGCATTAAACATAGTTCTGGCGACAGTTCTCATACTTATCTCGTGTCGCGACATCTTCCATACGCGGTGATCCTGGACGGCGGTGAGCAGCGGTGATCCATGACATCGGCGATGCTGATGAGGATCGCGTAGTGGAAACCTGAAAATAAAAGAGAATTAGTTAGTTAATTAACCTTAATGCTGGGACTTACCCGATCAAGCGGTTGTCGCGCCATCTTGGTTGCACGTTGAGACAAGCCGGTGATTGATATCGGGTATCCGAGGGGAGACGACGCAGATGAAGACCCCGTGGCGGGAATCTAAAAAGGAAGAAGGATTAGGGAGTTAGTGGACACGTACTTACCTGATCAAGCGGTGGTCATCCATCGTTGAACCTGGGCGACTTTGGGAGGCGATTGATATCGAGTCCCTGAGGACGGGCGATGGTGAAGAGGACCCCGTGGCGGGATTCTAAAAATAGAATTATTTAAACAAATTGATTGACCATATCGTCGTTCACGTCAAAGATACTTACCTTCTCGGTAGAAATAGCTCAAACCGAGTGGCGACCGATGACTTATAAAACAAAATAGCGTGTCTCGTAGCCCGATTATGCATCGTCCGGTTACAGCCTAACAGGAGTAACCCGAGCCTTCGGGAGCTAACCCATAATTTGCTGACACAGTACGGGCGACGCCTTGGCACATCTCACGCAATTCCGAATGCTTCTCCTGATCTCGTTTCTTGCAGCGAGAGGCCAGTACTCGTCCCTTATTGAGGTTAGCGTCGCTTGAGCGCCCGCGTAGAACAATTTTTGATGCTTGTCTCTGATGATCAGTCTCGCGACGTGGTGCGTCGATCGGCAGTATGATCGGATGCTTGGTGGCCTCGGGCAGCTGCGCGTTTTCCAGCCTTCCACCTACTCGCAGTATCTCACAGTTATCTAGATATGGATTTAGGCTGTACAACCTAGAACCTCTGGGAACGCTTTCGTGGCACCTTAATAATTTTATTTCCTTCTCAAATTCTTGCGCCTGAGTGATCCGGATCAACGCGACCCGCGCTTTGTTTATTTTCGACGCGGATATGCAACCCGTTTTACGATTTTTCACCCCGTATCTCGAGTTGTAACAAAATCTTAAGATGTACGCTATTACCCGCAACAATTTGCCTAACAAGGAGTATTGATAGTAGGGTATGATTGCTTCCTGCAAGGAGGTTTCCGCCATCAGTACCTCTACCCGCTCTTCGAGTACAGTTTTGCTGGATAGTTCTGCGCCCTCTGCAGGCCATTCATTTTCGCTCAAGCGTAACCATCGCGGACCTTCCCACCAGAGTGTTGAACCCTTTAATTTCTCCGGAGTTGCACCACGAGAGATCAAATCAGCCGGGTTTTCTTTTGATTTTATATGGTGCCACGCAGAGGGCGACGAGCCATCCTGTATCTCACTAACACGATTTGAGACGAACGTCTTCCATCGTCTCGCCGGCGAACTTAACCATGCTAGGATTATTTGCGAATCCGTCCAATAACGACGCTTGTACACTCTCACGTTTAGGATGGAGGCCACCTTGTTCATCAATCTAATCAAAAGAACCGCCGCGCATAGCTTTAACCGTGGCAGAGACAATGTTTTTAACGGCGCCACTCTAGATTTGGAACAAAGTAAAGCAGTCAAAACGCCGTCTTCTCTCACGTATATGCATGCCCCGTATGCCTGCTCGCTCGCGTCACAAAACCCGTGCAGCTGTATCCCAGAGTCGGGATTTTTCGAGATTACCAACCTAGGAATCTCTATAAACTCCAACGGTGTAGTTGGGATTTTATCTGACACCAAGCCTTGTGAATCCTCATGGGCACCGAATCGTCCCAACCAAACATTACATGCCCATAAGGATTGTATTAAGATTTTCGCCGCGGTAATTATAGGGCCTACCAATCCCAATGGATCGAACAGCTTAGATACTTCTGCTAACATTACCCTTTTTGTTATCCTGTTTTCTTGTTTGACAATCGGACTTTTGTAAAGTAGTATGTCTCTACTCGGATTCCATAAGATGCCTAGTAGCTTTGATTCTTGTTCTTTACACAAATTCACCGATGGTTTTTTTACGCGCGCCTTTTCTTGCGGATCTAATTGTATATGAATTCCATTTGTGAAGCTCAAAGCCTCCTAGCGCCAATAGATCGGTTACTTGCTTTTTTAAATCCTTGACGCCTTGCATCGTGGCAGCCCCGGTTAATAGATCATCTACGTAGAAATCTCTGACAACGACCTCTGAAGCTAAGGGAAATCTTTTTCTCTCGAGCTCTGCTAATTTCTGCAAGCATTTGATTGCCAGGAATGCGGATGCTTTCTGGCCGTATGTTACGGTAAGTAGTTCTAGAGTTAGGAGCGTCGCCGCGGGGTTTGGTCGCCAAAGGATAGTCTGTAAAGGCACATGCTCTGCATGCTCTTCATGGACCCTAATCTGCCTGTACATCTTCCGTATATCCGCGCACAGCACATATAGAAAGAATCTAAATTGCAGCAGAATAGAGAACAAATCGGATTGAATCACGGGACCATTGTACAATGCGTCGTTTAGAGAAAGGCCTTTTGAATCTTTGCTTGAC